TTTTGGAAAATTGTTAATGAGGACTACGATTGATTCGTGTGCGTAGTGTATGAAACAGTGATCTGTATTAAGAAATTTGTATGTCCTTGAAACAAAAGTATAGACAGTTTCAACGGCAACGAATTAGCTTTCACTTCAAGCAGAAATAATCCGACGGTTTTTCGTCTTTAAATGTGATAGTATTAGATGATAAACCAAGTAAAACCAAGTGCCCGTAATGCAGAGTATATCCACCGTCTATTCGGACGGAAAAGCGAAACCAATTACACCGTCGACCGGAACCAGATCTCGCGTTTCAATTATTTTACCTCAAGCTGCTCGGAAAAACCGCGGCAATCTTATCTGCTTACTCTCGAAATTCTCGTTTAATCGTTTCCCCGCCTCCATATACAGTAAATACTCACGGAAGAGAGCCTCTCACGTTAAAGCCCCGTATTGGATTCAACGTTCACGAGGCAGCTTGACGCTAGGAGTAATTAAAAATTGTAATCGAGTCCTATCAGAGCGTCAAAGGAAATTAAACACTTGACCAAGACACTTCCGTCCCCGTCCCGGGGAAAAGGAAATCGACCCTCGTGGTGTCCAATGGAAATTATCTTGATCTCCGCCTTGGCCTTTAGCCCGCCATTCTCAAAGTTGACTAACAAACAGCCACTTATCGTGAATAGAAAGTTACCTCTAGTGCCCACGACGTCGGTTTATTGGAAACGCTGCGATCGTACCCCGAGTAGTGTAATCAAGGGCTCCTAGATCCCAAGAGTACTTTGACGATACTCTCTTAAGGGGATAACGCGGCCGAAACGCGACAATCTTAACTACCGGGCGCGTTGCGTGATCCGAAAATAGCCTGATCGATGATTTTGGGGTAACAAGTAATCATGTAAATGGAGCAAGCATCTGAAATAATATGCACGAATGAGAAAGTCCCATTGACGGATGTTATCTCTGATTGTAAGTACATAGATGAGATTTGATATCAGTTCTCTAGAAAGAATTTATGAATCCTTTAACGTTCCATATTTAATTACCTGAAGTCTAGATTTGTGAACTGGACTACGAAAAGGTGGTTAATTGAAGTAAACACTTGCTGCTCGTGCAATCTCCTTTCGGTTCTTTCTCTCTCACAAAGATAGCTGGAATTTTAAGGTGAATTATGTGTTCCAAATTTGTACTTTTTTTTTTAAATTATGAAATACAGTTTTTATTCCCTATTTGTAAATACAAATTGTAAAGCAATGAATAGAGCCAGAGACCAGGGCTTGGTCTCATTAGAAAGAACGTACTTTCTTGTACGATAATTATAATCAGTTGAAACCTTAAAATCGATTCCTTTCGTATACGCCTTTTCGTAGTTCAGGTCGCATACATATAATGAAAATAGACAGTAAGATAAAGTAAGGTATACAGAACCCTGTATTATTTACTTAACACTCTGACTGCCACGTCACCTAAACATGGATGACACGTCCATTGCAAGGAGGCTGGATTATTTAAATACCGTCACAAAATTTTCTTGATCGATCAGGCTAGACAAACAAATTAATTACCTGTTTCACTGTTCTCTCACGTTTTATTTCCGCTCCTTAAATCAATATATTTTAAAGTAAGTAAATCTGTAAATATATTTCTTTATAGAGATACACAAATGGTCCAATCTAGGAGCCGGTCCAATATAGGCAACTCTCCCCTAAGTACCATGATCGTGCTTCAAAGTACTCGTACACTCAATATCACTATAAAGGAGAGTAGAATAAAATTTTCTTTTAACGACGAAGATAAGCTGCTCTCTTCTTTTGAAATTTAAGAACAATCCACGGTCACCGTAAATTCTCCAAAGGAAATAAGTAAAATCGGATTGTCTAGCACGGAACACGAACGTAATTAAACATGTGACAATGGGAAACGATGCAGGTACAGTAGCGGTTACGCGAATGTCCGGCAGCGTTGACTTTCACCGATAAACGCGGCGAGGCAAAGTAAAATGTGGCCGATCGCGGCTGACAAACGTGACGTGGTCCTCGTCACAAAGCGCGCGGCCCATTAGCGTAAATCCAGATTTAATAGGCTGAGAGGGGAATAATGAGTATACCGTGAACAGCCGTAACGCTAGGGATATGCATTATTCATGGACTGGTGATAGCCTAGAAAATCCATCGGCGAATCGATAATGGTTCGATGACCACGCCAAAAATACGCGCTCGACCGATAAAAGAAAATATTTTTCAATGGAGGTGCAGATATTCGTGAAAATCGTTCCATGTGCACGTAACACTTGTCGACAAACCGATTGTCGAAAAAAAAAAAAGAAATTAGCATGAATATTGTGATGCACTCAAACTATGAAATTAATTGATATTTTGTTTCGTAAAGCAAATGCGTAACTATCCCTATAATTATAATTGATCTGAAAACAAGATTACGTTATTGTAGGAATATTTTAATTTAACGAATCTAAAGAATTCGTTATATCAAAGATGGTTGGAGATCGTAGAAACGATCGGTGTTGGACCGCTTTGTTGTCTTGAAAATATTTATTCCTGTACAATAGCTGTGTAAGTATAAATGTCAATCACCTTTTACGATGAACTTTAACGAGACTTGATATTTTACTACCGTAGTTTGAATGTCACGGAATACAATTTATATCTTGTTTTTCAAATAATCGCGAGGTGAATATATTAATCCAGTTTTCATAAAATTATTCACCATTAATTGCATTGATATTTTCAAGACAATAGACGGACTATTTATTTTTACTCGTTTCTAAGCTTCTGTATTTCGGATTTTTTGCCGTATCGTTTTCGTGCCATTAATTGATGTCTATTAAAGCGAGAGATCGTAAAACACTACGTACACAGAAAAAGCACCGTCGGGGAGCCAGAAACGGCGACGTGGAACAGATTAAAAGTGCACCGACTTGCAATTTTTACTCGATTTCCTATCTGGGATGTAGTCCCTGACATTTATGGAAGTAATCGGGATTAATGTGGCTACACGGATGAGTGATGTGCTTATACCGTTCGTCTATACCATTAGTCCGAATTTTGTAAGGCAAAATACTCGAAATTATTATTCCTGTCGTATGATTAAATAATTAATCAAACCTATTCGAAAAAGAAGAAAATATTTTCACGTTCACAAACACCACAATAGAATAATATTACCGATGAATGTTTTTCTAACACAGTATGGATGCAAACTAAATGAAATTGAATATATGGTTATTGTTTTCTAAACCAAAATATATAGTTCGCGAAACACAAATTCGTATTAAAGCATCAGTAACTGTTATATCTTTTAATGGACAGATCTTTATTACGTGCCAAATAAACTACAGCAAATACTCGTTAAGTGCTCGTTCGTTGCTGATAATAGCTGACCATGAGTCGTCAGAGTGTAATACATAAAGAATAACATTTCTATAACGTTCATATTGTACAAATTATCAGATAAAAAAATGTATTCGAATCGTCTTTGCCCAGAAGCACTTAACAGTTTAATCTTCCGTAATGGTCATTTAACGGGTCCTTCGTACAACATAAATTTTTACAAAAGTCCGTACTAATTATTCATGCAAACGTCACCGATCTATTTCAGTCGGCACTGAAAGCGTTGGGCGCTAAACTGAGGAATGGAGGGAACGTGGCAGTGGGAGCAGCGAAAGCACTGCCATATCATTCTGCTCAACCCTTTGTCGTACGTAAAGGAGAACCCGGAACAGGCTGCAGGTGAGTCCTTCTATACCAGCAGATATTTTACACGAGCTGCCCACACCGCTGGGTGTCACTCGGTTGAACTCGCTCGACATAGAAAAGGACGACTATTCACAAGAAAATCCCGTTTTAGCGGCAAGGACGATTATGCCTTTTTATATCTTCGAAACCCCTAACATCGTACCGAGAATAACGTTCAGGGAACGTTTGAGAAGAGATCCCCTGGTACCTCTAGAACCAATATGAATATCCGAACTTCCTTGGAAGAAGGTTCTTTTCTTCCACGAAGTTCTTTTCATCGCTCGCGTGACCACTTGTTTCGTTTCCTCGTCCTTTCAACGTGGAAATCGTGTTCGATTTATTAGTGACACCTACGGAGATAACGCGAGAAAATCTCGATTTACTGGATTCTTTTTAAAGTATCCTCGTAAAATCCACGAATACGATTTGATTATGTGGATAGCATTGATCGATACATTGCCTGGTAATTTAATCTCATGCTATTAGGCACAATTTTATGGTGCAAATATAGATGGCGGGTCTAGTATGTTCAGATTTTAATCTTCATTTTTTATGAATCATTTGGCGCAAGATGTTTCTTCAGATGCTGATAATGTTCGTAATACGATTCCGTAAAAGGCAACAGTTGTTAGGAAAGTTTCCTGAATGTTCGTATCAGCGGACAAAGAGAATTAAGATTCTGATCAATTCTAGAAGAGCTAACGTTCGTGAAGCCTCTGTATCCTTTATACGAGGGGCAATATTAACAGTTGGGAATTAATAAAAAGAATATCATCCTATTAAAGATTCAGACATGTTTAAAAAAAAATCCCAGCCGATAGAACTGAACAGAAAGTTATTTTACATGAAAAAATAAGTCGAAAATGTGGAATAAATTTTTTTCATACGATGTTTCATTTTCAAAATAATCAAATTTCGCATTACACCTGGGGACTTTTCCTTGTCAGCGTCGAGGAGCCTTCGAACACTAATCGAAGATTTATTATATTCATTTAATTCAGAATCATAAAAAGTTATGGTGGTTTGTACATCTGTCCAGATGAACGAAAGCGGCTACAAGGTAGTGCCTGCAAGGACGAAGACAACCTGCAGAAAAGGAGTCGCGTGCCGGGTCTGTAGCGCTCGGTAAAGAAAGAAAGGGCTCCCCGAGCATCATCGAGAAGGGAAAGGGGTCGTCATGGGCCCGGCACACCAAACCGTACCCCACTGAGCGATGCAAGTAGTTAGGGCCGGGGCCCTGCTAGTGAGCATGTGGCTCACTAGAGAATGAAGAAACAAAACGTCCGGACCCTATCGTTGATCGTCTTCACGTTCACCTACCTCCTCGTCGGCGCTGCAATCTTCGACGTTCTCGAGTCCGAGACGGAGAAACGACGCAAGGAAGCATTGGACGGTAGATATCTTATTTAATAAACTTAACATTGTGACGACCAATCTACACCACAGTCAGTAGCCAATGACGCGACGCTGACATCATGTGCATGTCAACTGGTACTTTTCAGATATTCAACATTATTGAATTTTTTTTACACACATAGTAAAAACCCTATTTTTTTCATTCTTGACAGAAACAGCCAACCACTGGCAAAATGTACTAGCGAAACTAGCTAGTTGTCATAGTGTCAACTTCACGTGACATTAGAGGTCACTAGAAAAACTTAATTCTTACTCTTCATCAGTGATGTTGAAACAATAAAAACATTAGAAACTTGTTAAATTTATTGAGAAATTTGCTGTGTTTTGGTCGTACTTTCAGTATGAAAATTCTTTAAAAATCCATCGACGAAACGAAGCAATTTATAATTTATTAATGAGCTAAATTTGTTTATAAGTTCTTGAAAGTTTTTAAGTAGATAAGATGTTCGATTTTGCTAAATATGTCGCGGAAGACAAAATTCAAGAAACTCAAAATAGATCTTTGCGGTAAACAGGAACACTCTGCAGCATCACCGGTTGTAAATCCTGGAAGGAACTCGAAATGCTTCCGTAGATAGACCGTTGTTTTCCGTGTTCCTAAGAAAGAGATAAAATTACGAGACTTTTACCACTTTCGACAACGAAACTCGGGTCAGTTCACGGGGAAACGACTTACACCGGTTGAAATGTAATTTCGTTAAAAGTATTGAGTCGAAGGTGAATTGAAGATATGTACGAATAAAACTTCTCATTGCTTGTGCTTTGCTTCCTACAAGCATTCAACCGTGATCTTCGAGAAGATTGCTATTTCTCAGAATTTTAAATCTAGTTCCACGGGAATGAAATATGAATTTTAAGACTGTCGAATAGTTTTGCTTGGAAAGAAGACTGATCAACTTATTTTTCCGTTTCTTTTGTTGACAGCCATTGAAAAGATGGTTATACGCAAATACAATATAAGCGAGGACGACTTCAAGATCATGGAAACAGTGGTGCTGAAGACGGAACCTCACAAAGCCGGTCAACAATGGAAATTCGCCGGAGCGTTTTACTATGCAACCACGGTCCTCACGACTATCGGTACGTATTCAACAAGAAAAACCATTTTTAATAGTCCAATTAGGTTTACAATCAATAATACCCTCAACATGTTGGCCGCTAGTTCTTACTATTGGGACAATATAACTATACATATAAGTATTTACGCGTTGACTTGGACACTCATTACTTTTATTATTACTATACTACTAATTATATTTATGAGATGCCACATGCTCTTGTTTAGAAATTGAATATATCTAAATGTAATTTAATAACCACGGTCACTGGTGACCACCATGACAGTTATCGTGTCGCCTTCTTTTACTCAAGAACTGGTAGACAGTGTACCTGTATGTATTTATATTAATTTCACTGAATTAGTAGTTACTTATATCTTAAATTATATCAACGAAAAATCTAAAATTACAATTGAAGAAAAACAGAGAAATCCAGAAAATTCTAGCAAGAAATTTTGGAAACGAAGCTAGCTCTTCGAGTTCTCAAGTAGTATGACTCGAGTAATTCCGATCCGGTGAAACACATTGAATTGAATTGAAAGAAAGAAATTTGAAACTAAAATAAGGAATAGGATCATTTTACGTAGAAACAGTATTTTTATGATTGTCCAATGAACGAAAGAATCTTGCTGTGGTTCCCATAAAAAAAAATAATCGTTTCACTCATAAGAAATCTGTCCAATGCATAAAACCTTCGTGTTTTACAAGTTCAGTTTTCACATTTCACATCGGTACGTGCCGAATAAATCGAGTTACTGAATTATGGGGCAGTTTCTGATATTGGATTCACGACTCTACTTTTAGGTTACGGACATTCGACGCCGAACACCATAAGCGGTAAACTGTTCACGATGTTCTACGCGATCGTCGGAATACCGCTAGGACTCGTAATGTTCCAGAGCATAGGAGAGCGTTTGAATAAATTTTCATCCGTCGTAATACGGAACGTAAAGCAGCTTCTTAATTGTAAGGATGTCCAGGTAAAGCAACATATTTCGTTACAACTTTGCGTATTCCACATAAAATTCACAATTCTTGACCCTAATAAAATCCGAAACTTAAATAGTCGAGGATGTTTAATGAGGTTAATTGGAGTTGCATTTTCCGGTCCACATGCGAATCTTCGAGTTAAAAACTTAAGGTTGAATTGTTTGAAAGCAATTATTCAGCAGTTATTATCAAATATGATTTTTTGTGAACTGCAGGAATCAGAAATAACTCTTTTGAATTTAATTGGAAGCATAGAAGAATATAAATACGCGGAACAAGCTATTGAATGTTCGTTCCTTATTAAACTCCTCGAAGTTAGATAAACTTTCGTAACTGGAAGCTATGCGTGTATTAGCAAACTTTATTACTGTCGCACATAAAGGAAAAACTTGCGTTACTTAAACGATGCTGTCATAAACTTGTTCAAGTAAATTTAGTATGCAATTTTCTGTCTTAAAATATTGTCACACGATATATCGACGAAAGTTAGTAATAATTACATCGATTTTATATTAAATTAAAAACATTCAGAGTGTTTTGCTAATATGGGTTATAGGTAGACTGCAGATTTTTATACAAATTCATGTTTCTATAAACCAATTTACAATATAAAAATTAATGGAAACTTGTTACTTCAATATATGGCATCATCGGGTAAAGGAGAAAATATAATCTGTGTTCAAAATCGATATTTTCATTCCATTGTATTTGATTCAATCATCTTCCATAAATGCATAAAATCCGCAGTTGGCTGAGAACTGGACTGCAAATTTTATGCATTTGTAGCCTACAGGGCTCTGTGAAATACAATAAAAATCAAAACTTTCATCACGTACAATAATTTTTCTAGTTTATCCTGGAGCCAATAAGATGCTTAAAGAGGGAAAGAAATTATTACTTGTGTTCTTGCTTGTATAAATTACTTTATAAAATGTCATTTTTCATAAAAATCTGCAGTCCACTGGTAACAAAATCGAGCGTCTGTTTTGCCGCGAGACGTGAATATCCATAAGAATTGTTTAAAATTTCAGGCCTCAGAAATAAATCTTATCTGCGTGGTGACGACCTTATCTTGCTTAACAATTGCGGGAGGTGCCGCAGCGTTCTCTAGGTACGAAGGGTGGTCATACTTCGATTCCATTTATTATTGTTTCATCACCCTGACGACCATCGGGTTCGGGGACATGGTCGCGCTGCAAAAGGATAACGCGCTGGACAACAAACCCGAGTACGTGATGTTCGCCCTAATATTCATTCTGTTCGGCTTGGCGATCGTCGCCGCCTCTCTCAATTTATTGGTCCTGAGATTCGTCACAATGAATACCGAGGACGAAAGGCGAGACGAAGCTGAAGCTCTGCAGGTAAGCACCTCGAGAAATCCCCTTATTCTCAAACATAGAAACGAATCACTTGAAACTTCCAACGAACGACAGTAATTTTATCTCTTTCCCAAGTTTCGACACGGTATATCTAGAGTTAACACGTTGACTGCTATACCATTCACTTTATTCACGAATCCAAAAAATTCATTTTTATTAAAAATTGAAAAATTGTTCAGTAGAACTTTAATGTCACTTACTAGTTTTACCATTATTAAGCAAATAAGAATGTTTTCTTCCACAGTTAGCTAATGCAATTTGAAAGAAAAAATTTATGAGACTTAAAGTCACAACCCTAGATCGGAAAGAAACTAACACCTTCGAAATCGAAAATTTAAGTTCCATGTGTTCAACTAGTCAGTAGTAAACAGTATATACTGATAAAAAATTTTGAACATCAACAATTAATTAGAGCAGTAGACGGTTAAAAAACTAGCCTTACACTTATGGGATGAATCAGATGCCGAACTGAGTAACTCAATTTTCCACAAATTCCTCAATTTGATTATTAATAATCTTTTTACAAATTTGGCATACCTCAGTTTTAAACTTACATCTGAAATAATTTACTATGTGACATCTGTGTATTCGGATACTGTAACTAAAATTTAAAGGAGCAATGTCTATCATACCTAACGACATACTGTGCAGTTTGTTTCCTGGTGTTAATTAGTTTTGTTCCTGAGATACTCATACAGTACTGATGTTCCAATGTCATCATCTGATCTGCCGAAACTAGTTCGTTATCCACGCGGATGCTTTCCAAAACACGAAATATCCAGTAGTCAATGTGTTACTTGAGTACCAAACACACCGTCAACAAATTGGCAGTTGAACCGTACGAGATTAACGTATTCGTTACCTTAATACCCCCGGCGTTATCATTCCCTACATCGAATCGATACACAAGAAAAACTGCCTGGCAACCCCCTTACGGTTAAAACTCGAACCCCCTAAGACCTATTCTGAACAACAAAAAAAACCACACACACACACACACACACACACACAGGAGAAATCCGCACGGGGCGCGCTTTAACGGTTTGTAAAACAACAACGACATGCGTCCGTGGTATAACGATTCGACAGACACAAACACAAAAAAAAACAAACAAAAAATATATATGTAAAACGAGAGCAGGAAAACAAACAAAAATTATTATGACGCAGGCTGCGCAAGGAGCAGTGCGCCTGGAGGGCGACGTAATAACGGCGAACGGCTCGATATTGTCAGGCCAAATAGGGAACCACGGTGACACGATATCGTTGGATGACGAGACGTCGGTATGCAGCTGCCGCTGCAGCGGCTTCCAGAAGAAACGACGGAGACCGCGGTTCACGGTTCGTCGCTCGCCCGGTAAGATCTCGCACCTGCTGCCGATGCAGCAGCTGCCCACGCTGAACATGCGCACCGAGCTACGCCCGCCGCCGTTGACGCCGTTGCTGCAACTGCCGCCGTTGTATCAGCATCGAGCCAGCATCTGACGCGGGTCGACCGTCAGTATGATGATGCCGCAAGAACTGCCGCGACGGGTCTCCGTCTGAGACTCTTTTGAAAAACGAAAATAAACCAAAAAAAAAACCAAATAATACAAAGAAAGAGAAACAGGAAGGTAGAGAGTGAGAGAGTGATAGAGAGAAAGTGAGCTTTTTGCCGACGATCGCTTCAACGAATTTAATATCCTCGAGACGCTCTCACCGCCTCTCCCCACTTCACGACCGCGATCAACCGTTCTCCGAGGACGGCGGACAGCCGGAAGTCCCTCGGTACCAGAGTAAACCGCGCGAAAGCGAGTAACGATCGCGCCACGTTCTGTTCTGCCATCGTTGTTTTCTACGCTTTTCGACTCGCTTGTTGAGTACGGGGTTTGAGCAAGATAAGATGTCGGTGTTGTTGAAGTGTAGATGTTTCGATTGTTCGGGTTTACGCGATAGGATAGCGGTAGATTGTTAATCAGCTTCGATGAATACCCTGGATTTTTGTATATTTTTGTTCCTGCGTGACACTTTTGGAAGACTTCCGAAGTTTCCCTAAGCTCCAGTTAGGTTCTAAGTGGTTAGTGCTGTTGATCCGTGATAAATGACGAGATTCTAGAGGGAGACATCTTATTAGCATCATGCTTGATCGAATCGTCAAACAGATTTTTTATCACAGAGTAGATCCATCCATTATCTTCTTCATAAGAAGGTTCTATGTATTCCTATCGTTAGAGATATACATGAATCAACGTAGAGGGTGTTAATAAAAATGTGGCACACTTTCGCAGGATGGATTCTACAGGTCAGACTATGACGGAATTCAAAATGAGGAAATTACGTTCGAGGCTTCGTTTCTGAGTTATTAATTGTTGAGAATACGGGTGGAATACGTGTGAAATACGTCTGGCGCGATGGATTATACTACTTGTAACAGCCGATTCCCAGCTGATACACGGTATCGATCGGTAGTCAAGCTAAAGTTAGAATGAAATACAATCAAATGAATGGCAGCAAAACGTGAAACAATTGAAGAGCGCGTCTCTCGAGTAGAACATAACCCGCCGTGTCAGACATATTTTACGCGTATATCGCCCGTATTTTGAACAATTAATATCTCAAAAACAAGGCTTCGTACGTAAGTTCGTCATTTTTGATTTTTTGTTTTAGTTTTCCATGTATAATTCACCCCCTGAAAGTGTCCCACATGTTTATTAATTGAATATCGATGTTACTTCCGATTTTAGCTTCATTTTATTTTCTCTTCAACCGTTTCGGGTTTCCTCGTCGTGAAAATTGGAGAAGCGCAAGATGTAAATATCGTCCGTGTAGCAGTTCAGAATTCCGTGGAATTTCGAGCATCTTCCAGAATAACTTCCTTACATTATCTTAGACTTTGAGAGCTGCGCTGCGTGGAAGTTGTCCAAAGGTTTAACGAAACTTCAACAGATCGTAGAGAAATATATTTTCTGCTCGTTGACGTAAGCATTCATGATGGCGAGTTTGGTTCTCTTCGTTGTAACTGTTCATCGCGATTTTATAAAGCACGGCTCACGGTTGTCGCGGCGAATCGCAGAACTGACGAGATTCTAACTCGCGTCGGTCGGACGCAACGCTGAAAAATTCTGCCGAAACAATGGAAATCAACACTTCGAGCGTTCCTTTCCTAAATCTCGAAGTTTCGACGATCTATTTTACGTAGTTTTAAAAGGGGGAGGAAAATATTTAAAAATTATATCGTAACGAAGTCCAAGTGCTTCCGATTGTTTCGAACTTGATCTTCCAATATTTTGAGGATTGCACATTCGCGAATAGGCTGGGGTACATTTTACGCGTTATAATAATTACCAGTACAATCTTCCATTGACATGTTTTGATTGCAGAAAAAGAAAAAGGTAGAATCTTGTCACGGGTTGCGATCAGGCGGTGAATTGACTCTTAGAAGCAACTGTTGTGCATGTACAAAAAGGAAAAAAGGATGTGCGAGTATGATCATGTGTTCCGTAGCCAAGAAGCATTAATTTAAAAAAAAACGATACAAAAGACAGTGCGAGAGACAGAGAGAGGGAGAGAAAAGAAAGAGATAGAAAAGAATATATATCTACGTTCACACTGCTAAAGAAGAGAAATATATACACACCGAAAGACATATACACAAGAAGATGAACACGACTTTTTCATTAAGAAGGCATTTTACAATTTGTATATATGAACTATAGATATTACACGTACGAATCTAGGTGTACGAATTAAGATGTTTCGATCTTACGATGTGTATAAAATAAATAACTGATCCAGAATCGTTTGAGAGATCGTGGCCGTAAAAACTACGTAGAACTCTAGCTACCAGAGATAGATTTTGCCACGCCCGAACGCTCTCGGCCAGGAACAATGAAATTTAATATTATAAATAAATTTAAACGAAAAAAAAAAAGAAACTATAAATATATACATATAACGATAATATCTAAACGAAGATAAAAATGAATCCAGAGAAAAAAAGCCGTAGATCACGAGAATTAAAATATCGTCCCCTGATCTTATTGGTTTACAGTTTACCTACGGAAAGTCAATCCATCGAGACACGAGGCACCGTATATTTCCGAATAGATTATGAAAGAAGAAAAAAAAAACGCGTCATACTATAGTCGAACACGAGCGGAACAATTCTCTTGCCTTTTATCGACACGTAGAACGTATTCGAGTATTTTTAAGACGTACACACTGGATTGCACATAATACGCGTAGCGTAAGTAGTGAAGACCTCGTTTTGCCCACTCGGCGTTTCAAATGTTTCGAAAATGGCCGCTGGCTAGAAAAACGCGGATGCGCGACGGGTATATTTGTACAATTTTTTTTTTCTATATTCACGATTATTCGTCGTAGCGTCGAATCACCGAGGGTCGAGTTGTTCATTAGACCTTTAAATCGATTGGAATCATTTAAACCACCACGATTACGGTGATTAACCTTACGGATTAAGAGAATTGTTGATATCTTCGAAAAAATGACAGAAAACTTATTACAATTTGACATTTCTTCCTATTTATTACGATAATGCATTACAATGTAAATATAAGTTTCGTATTACGAATTGGACGAATAAACCTATTGAAGAAAGATTCCTTATTACACGTATTTATTCCTATATAGAATTAAATATTGTACTCGAGTACAAAAACGAGACATGTTCATTAACTTGACTCTTAATAAGCTATCTCAAAAATCTACTGTCTCCGTACAATATGTATATAATTAAACTTTCGTTAAAAACATTGTTAGCAAAAAAGAATTCTATTTTCTGGATTCTCTGACATTTGTTCGAAACACGCTTCATTATTAGAATCGTTAATGTACTTATATTTAATGAAAAGTCCAGAAGTTAAATATTATTAAACTTAAATTTGTATTACAGAACGACTGAAAAGCGTTTAAAAGAACATGGCTAAAGGAGATTTTTTAAACCTACCGGAACGCTACAGATCGTTGAAGGAATTCTCGTTAAAATGTACGATAGTCATTCCAAATTGAGATCGATTTACGCTAATATTCGTTCCTTGTACGCCCAGGATAATAATGTTATTGAAAACTTCGCAGAATATTAATTCATAAATCATGGATGAGTTCCCATTCGCGGTTGACGTACTATGGTAATTTGCATTCCACGGTTTAAGGGTTAATGAAAGCAATGGACTACAATCGAAAATTGAGATAAAACGTGGCCAAATAAGCGTTCAGGATTCGTCGAATCGGTCATATAGAATTCGGCAGTATAAAATGTTTTAGTGAGAAACAGAGGAAAACATTCCATGAATTTGTACAATTATTATTATGAACTTGTATTATTACATTATTATGATTACCTTCATTAACACTCGCTATAACAGAATGAACGAATTACATTTGTAATATGCTAGGGTAGAAACGAACAACGATCACGTCTACTAGAATGACCATTCACAATATTATTGAGATCTGCGAGCATCATGGAAACGTATTCGAGGAACTAATAGGGGTGAACCACATTTGACATTCATTCAATCATCGTACGGGAAGATTTCATTTTGACGCTTCTCCCCCACCAAACAACACGATTTTTAATCGTTTACACTGATTAGCAGTAACGGACGATAGCCTTTTTCGAAATTACAAAATACTAATTATACTACTCCGTCTAAAATCGAATATCTACCCTTACCCCTTCGTACGCCAATTTGCTCTTAAATTATATATACTTGTATTGAATTTGGAAGGACGAGAGAAATTTCTAATAATCCACCTCTTTTTTTGTTCAATCTTAACTGGACTTATAGCGTGTTAAGATAATACAAGGATTATTATAGACTTTCAGGTAATACTTTATATTTCTAGCGAGATTCCATAAAGAATTAGTGAGCTTGTATAACCTTTAATCTTCGAAATTAGCGTTATTAGAAATTACTGTTTCGTTACCATTGGTTTTTAGCATTGTACATGTAATGGAAACGCTTACGAAACGATCGATCGAGGAGGATTCGTTTTACGATATTATACCAAGAGTTTGTCACTAAATTCATAAGTAATGTTGCATATCTGTCTGTTCTATAACTTAATTCGTGAACAACGTACACACGATCAATCAATAGAAGGATTAAAAGCAGAAAAAGTTTTAAAAACGGCACTTCTTTCGCGGAGTCAATAAAAAATTATTACAGTATACATAAATCAGTCATGGCTGAACATAAAAAGTTAAAGAATGACAACGATGCAACTGTATAAAAGAAATCGTGGGTTTGCTTAATGAACAAAGTGATCAGATAATAAAGTCACTTTGCCATTAATAGACAGATATTGATAAAAAAAACAGGCAAGTATAAAAAGAACTTGTTTACCATAATTTATCGATTGCGAGTGGTGTATTAGAACTCCGTGGACTGGTGCGATTAAAGGAAACGAATAAACCGAAATATGTTCCCAGAAAATGCAAGCTCAAAGAAATGTAACGAATTATATTAAAGTGCCATCGTCTT